GTGGACTGCGAATATACATGTCTATTATTTAAACTTCAAACTGCCTACTATAGAACAATTTATGATTGATGTCTTAGTTATTATTGACTCTACGATCAAACTATTAAAATATGCAACAAAATATATTACAACCAGATATAAAATAAGTGGTCTATACGAAGTTTTGCGAGTAGCTTTTTTAATTACACTTAATATACGAACAAATTTAAATGCATTAACGTACAGTACAAAAATGAAAGTACAAGCGATTCTCACGAAAGCGATTTAAGGGCATTAGGTCTTTTGAATTTTCTCTTATGTGCGTTTTAACGTTTGACTCGTATGTTGTAAATTTTTAAAGTTTGAAGATCTACCGCGTTTTAGCACAATGCCTAGAGAAAATTTTTATAATTAATTAACCGACTTTCATGAAGTATTCCCATGAATATAAACAATTTAGAAAACATTATACAGTTACAAAATGAGTTAATTATTAAAACTGAATAGAAAATACTAAGCCTCCGTTTATATGAAATAATAATATTGTAAATTCATAATAGATATCGAGAAAAATTTACGAGAAAATAATTTATTTTCTCGTAAAAATTGGATCGCACCAGTTAAGCCTAGACAGTTTTCTTTAAAACGAACAATCAAAACAAAAATATACTTTATAGTGATATGTTAACACCTTACGAATACGTAAAAGAAATAGTGTAGTATACTGTGTATGAATGTGTGTATACCGCGTAAAAGACTTGTAAAAAAAAAGTGAAACGACACGATTGTTTTAACGGATGAGTTGCACAACTGTTATAGAATTTTAATGGCATTTGTTGTTGCACATGTTTAGTTATTGTCGTCAAAAATCAGCTCTGTCATAGTGTACCATTTGAACTTTTAGGAGCGACCACTTGTTTTCTGTGTATTTACATGTACTATTGTTTCAATAGAAAGTAAAACATCATAGAGAATGACACATTTTTTACAAATATTAGATTTAATGCATACAACATGTGCTCAACACTAAATTGCATTTAAGGCGGTATACGAGTCGCCAGAAGAAAAAAAAAACGTGAATTATGTGTTGATGAATAGTCGATGTTTCTCAGATGGGCCTTCGTTTGTGTATAGGAAAAAAATCCGTATTTGTGATGTACAGAGAAAGCTTTTTTCATCATTCGCACTTAATCATAATATAAAATTAACGTCGAGCGAAAATCAACGCTTTTATAACGTACAGCAATTATACTCGAATAATGTCCATCGCGATTTCAGATTTCTATTCGTTCATCCCACACGACTATTAACGTGTGTTATTTTTTCTTCGAAACTTACCCCGGAGAGTCGGATTTAAGTATAAATGATTGTACTCCGTGGGTCGATCGGAGAACTCGCTCGATGGACGTAAAACATCATTCGATAAAAAATCAAGAGTTGTTATTAAACGACGACCATTCGTCGTTCGCTTAGACGCTATGGAACGTCGTTACATACCAAGTTCCCCGGCGAATATCAAATTTTATTGTTTTGTTTTATTGGCAGTCGTATCCTACGGGCTCCGAATGTCTTTGTACGGCGTGTAAACGTTTTAAAAACGGTCCGAACACGACGACGCCGTGTGTTTATTTATTATAATTAGTTATTATTTATGCTAAGTTTGGTGGTTAAATTATGCGCGGTCGTTGAAACTGCCGTGTCATTCATTGTGAATAATCGGTAAACCCGCCAACATCAAATATTATTCCCGTCACGAGATCCGCGCATTGTTCGTGTTCCGGAGTGCTCTTAGTCGTCACCACCTCCCGCACGTTACACCTGCCAGATTTCAGTTTATTTATTTGGGTGGACATTTGTCAACCACGTCAAATTCGTCGTGCCTCCTAGATGTCGCCAAAGAAGGAATGTGGTGGTGGTTTCTCAGATCCGCCAAATTTCATTGTTCATTTGCAAACTGTTGTTTTCTAACGAAAAGTTTGTTCCTACAACAAGTCGATTTTAGATGTATCGGTTCAACTCTTAATTTTTAATAAAATCATTTTAATGCCATCACCTTGTGCTCATCGAACCGTCGAATTCTTCGTCACTCGTCATCAGTACCGTACAAGATATTGACGCCGACCTCAATGTAATGTGTGGATTCTCTATGGCTATTCCCTGGGCATCTGCGGATTCGGATTGGCTCAAACGATTGGCGCACGAAAGCCGACGGGCAATTTCCCGGATTAAAAAACAATAATGACTGCTGTACGTTGCTCACCAAAACGGGTTAACGGTGTTCCGACTACACACCTCTATCGAAATATCGATTGTAGATGTAAAATACTGATTGTCGAGATCCGTATGTCGGATTAGATGAACATGATGCACGAATGACCTCTAGGACCGATTGTACTGCACATAATGAATTTACGAGTCGTTCTACCGAATGCGATCAGCTGAGTCGTAACGGATTATTTTTGTTTGCTTAGTTGATTTCAATACTAATAGTTAAACTTCCTTTAATTTTCTCGAAACAATCGGAAATATTTTGTTCTATTTTACAATTTAAAAATGCGAATCTGTCCCAAATTACAACACTCAAAAGCGTAAAATGATTGATAACTCAGTCTATTGATTTTTAGCGCAATCACGTTTGTATAGGTGTGTGTGTATAAAAGAACAAAGGTGAGATTTCTGTGTATTTTTAGTGTCCGTTTTTCTGTGAAACTATGTAACGGATAATCGACGGAGTAAATAAAAGCATATCAACACACCCACTCACTATTGAATATGTTGAATAAACACAAGTGCACACTATGCGCGCCGCTTGTTATTACTTTTCAAATGAACGTGAACAATAATTAGGGCCACCCTGAATTAAGGCGAGTCGCAATAATGTGAATGAAAAGCATAGTGTATTCATTATAATAGAGAAACCGCGTATAATATTCAAAATAATGCAGTCGGTTTGTTGATATTTATACTTTCATTCGGGTTAATATCGTGTTTTGGCGCGCACGCGAGATTTAGGAGATTTGCACCTTTAAGTAGTTTCATTAGTCATTTTAATATAATGAGATAACGATATTCATTGTGATTTGGTCCTCGCGTGTTTGATCAAGTTACGTTACGTTCTTGGAACACAAACAACCTGGTTAAGAGTGCGCACGTATTATAATAACATTTTCTTATGTGGACTTCATAAAATTAAAATACAGAAAACTCAACTCTATAAGTCCACGTTTCATTTGTCGCTTTATAGATCATACTACGAAGCATGTGCCTCCGTAAATAATTTTAAACTGTTCTCGGCTTTAAGGCCTTAATTCCATTATTCATGTTAATACTTTAATTAGCGTTATAATACTGTCGCGCCTTAGGAGTTTCTCCGCGCACGACATCATGTTCTATTATTGTTATCATGAATTTTGCCGTTCAAATGGTTCAACGTAGTACACAATGAGCACGTTCCTCCTACGCTGTGATGTTCATTCATGTATAGCTCTCCGAAGATTAGCAAACGACGGTCTTAGACATTGTTTCCGAACACAAGTATAGAGTGGTCATGGTACAATTTTTCACCTGCACAATTATAATGATTCAGTTTGAATAATATACTTTGATAGGTCTTATGACAGTATCGCCTATGGCAGAGAATGAAAGGATAGAGGAGAATAGGTCTGCTATAACTTTAGTACGGTTTTGTGATTTAAAACAAACATCATCAGTTGGTTTATTTATTAATAAAAACGACATAATATTTTGTGCAGACGTTTCTTCGGTAATTTATTAATGTGTAAACAAGCAAATGCGATTACTNAGACGTTTCTTCGGTAATTTATTAATGTGTAAACAAGCAAATGCGATTACTAAAGAATTAGTGTACACAATTTTATAAACGATAGGGAAGTCGTTGACCGATGGAGTTTAATTTAAAATAAAATAATTGGTAACTGTATTAATATGAAATT